CCTACAGCCCCATGTGCTGTTTCGTTGGGGCTGGATAATTGAAAATGAAGCTGCTTCTCAGGCTTGTACCTAACAGGTATTGGGTTGCTTGTACCTTGACTGAGAGCTCAGCCCCCCAATTACATAGCTAAAATAGTTCTACAGCCAAGCAGGTCCCCACAACAAAGAGACTTCCGAGAGCACGCCGTGTTGTGATCACAGCATCCACACCGACTGCAGAGTACCATCGCATCTGGTCTCCATCACTCCTGACCTGCATTTAGCACAGCTCTGCCACAGAAGCCTTTTCACGGCCTGCTAAACTGAAAGCTTAGAAACAAGACATGTGCCAGATGGATGCTAGGGTGCAGGGACAGCTTTCCTCCTGATTGGATGCATTCCAGGTTCACTGATGTTTGATTTGCGGCAAACCCACGGAAAGGTTGCTGGGGGAAGGAAGATTGGGAGGGGGTGGGGATAGGGGTGGACAGTGGGTTCAGAGACCAACCCAACACAGCCCAGGATGCAAGAAGCTCACATGCATATCAATTCACAAATGAGTATGAAGTTCCTGTGGGGGTCTGGGGCAGAGGCCTGGCTCAGGGTGGGTTTGGTAGACTCCAGCCATAATAAGGGTGAGGTGTGGCTTGGTGGCAGAGCATTTGCCTAGCATGCATGAGGTGCTGGGTTCAAGTCCTAGAACCATAAAAGTAAAAGAGGGAGAGAGGAGGGTTGTAAGAAGAAAAAAAAAAAAAGAGGCACAGAAGAGAAGGAAGAGGAGGAAGAGCATCCTGGAACCTGGGTTCTGCATCCCAGACTGGGGATATACTTCTCTTGCTGAACATAGGGTTGGCAACAGTGAATGGAAGGTGCATGCATGGTTCTCTCGGTGTTAAGATGCCTGAGTTCCCTACCTCGTCACTGTCAAGGGCAGAGAAAAGCAAAATCAGAAAGTCTAACTGTGGAAAACATGACTATGGCTGCCATGGCCAGGCTAGTAGCTCTCGCCATGTTTGTGACACCCACATACCCAAAGCCCCAGTGACTGCTCTGCCAGTGAATGGAGTCCGAGTGACAGTTCTCAGAGGAAAGGCCATTGAGAGTGCCAGGCAGAAGAGATGCCACCCGAGAGGACAGCAGGCATGGTTGAGTCCCAGCATCATCAGACCCCTTGGCCACTATAAAAAGAAATGCTGAAGCCACCCAGTCTCAGCCTCCCTAGGAGCCTCTGAACGGCGGGTCAGCATGACCCAGGATGCTTGGTCACCAGGGGAATCAGAGACATTTTCTCCCTTTGCCTTTTCTCACCAAGGAGTTCCTGGATGTCTCAAGAGGCTGGTATTAGAAAGCATGACACCAGCTGCTATCCTGCACTCCACACCCTTCACCTCTGACCGTGTGGGCCCTTCATGTACCCTGTGCCCTAAATACGACCTTTCTAGGGTGGCTCACTGCTTCCTGTGATGGGCGTAGGCAGAGCCTCTGACCTCCGGGAACCTCCAGTCCATCCCTGCTGTGCCTAACACTGCTGTTTCTGGATATGCTTCAAGCACCCAGCGGGACCTCAGCTCAGCCTTTGAGCAAGCCTCTATAGTCACAGCTGGCTATCCTAGAGGGGACATCAAGAGGTCCAGGAGTCCATTCTCCACACCCCCACCCCCATCCCCACGCCTGGCTCTCAGCAGGTGGGGGCAAGGGGCATTTCTCTCTCCAGGACCTCACAGCAGCTGACAGCTCACTCCTGTGGGATGGTTAACAGCTATGCCACACAGCTGGGCGGAGGAGTGGACTTCGCTGGAGACCCACACCTTGTGAATGAATGATACTTCGTATGATCCGGATCTGTCAGGGAGCCTCCCTGAGGATAACTATAGTTGGGTGCTTCAGGATTCATCCTCATTCAGATCTGACATGTTCTCCTTAATAAACATCCCCTCCTTTGCAATGTGGCCTCAGGACAGTTTCAAGCGGTTCTAAATGGCTTCACTAATTTACATACATTTTTTTAATGATTGGCATCTGTCACAGTTATTGGGACACATCATTTCGGAAATGGATCCTCTGCTTTTTTATAGTACACATTTTTAATTTTTAGGCGACAGAAGAAATCCCAGGGTCTATTAAAGACCTAACTCCCATTGGGTTGAATAATAAAATTGTATAGAATCCCATCCGTCAAAATAATTAAGTTTATTTCATCAACCAGTGTCACCCTATGATAAGCAATGTCATTAAAATGTGGAGGAGTGTTGTTGGCTGTGTCCTCAGACTGGGCCTTGGTATGTGGCCTGGAAGCCTATTTCAGCACAGCTGGCCTCCACAAACAGGCCGCCTGACAGGTCATCTCTCTCCTAGTCCATACAGCCGGTCCTCAGGTTGCCTGAATCCTCACAGCCACAGCCATAGCCACAGCACAGCCACTTGGCCCACATTTTCTATTCCCTCCCCCGGGACTGTGTCTGATGCCACCAGTGCCTGGCACAGTTTGATGAAACTAAGGCCTGTCTGCTCCTCCCCTGGGTCCTCTTGCCTACACACACACACACACACACATTCTCCATTGACATATGTGTGAAAAGGACATCTGGACTGCTGAGCATCAGCCTGACCCCATACACAACACAGAGGGTCGATCACTGTGTCCTTTGCTGCCTCTGACCCCACCCCGTCCCCCATCCTCACTTAAAGCCCCTATATCCAGACCTAGATGTGACACTGAGTAGCCTACCTACCTGCCTCAGCACTCTCAGGACTCTCCCGGCTTCTTCCCTACTTCACTGCTCCAGAGTAGCTGGCTTCTCTTACTCACTCCATCTTTTGCTGGGGACAGCCACCTAATCCCACAGGAATGGGCTTCTAAATCAGAAATTGTACCCACGCTTGCCTCCAGGATCTCTTGAGGTGATTCTGGGTCTGCAAGCAAAGCCCCAGCATAGAGGCCAGGCCTGAGCTGCGCTGCAGGCACTTGCCACCAACGCCTGCTTCAACCAGACAGCACCCTGAGGCCTGCCCCAGGGAGCTGTGGCCCAGAGAACCTCTGCTTTCAGCTTCTCTGACAAAGGCATTCAACTCCACTGTTTGTTTGGTGGTGCTGTGGTTGCTGTTGTTGTTCTTTTGAGGCTGGGGCCCACTCTATAGCTTTGGAACTTGCTATATAGACCAGGCTGCCCTCAAATTTACAAAGATCCGAAGACCTGTGCCACCAAGCCCTGGTACTTACCTGTATTAGCCCTCTTCTCCTGTTTGTTCTCAGGGGCTCCCATAGGTGGCTCCTCTGAGCACAGGTAGAAACTCTGAGCATTCAGTTCCAAGACAGAAGCCTCACTCTTGCTAAGAGAAAAGGGGGTGGAAATTGGATAATAGCACCCAAAAGCTACAGTGAGGCCAAGGACAACAGCTCTAGGCTCACACCTGTCTGGGAAGCTATCAGGAACTGGGTCTGTGGAATCCAGGAGGTGGCTGTAGGTGCCTTCCCCAGAGGAGAGCCAGAGGAGTTGCCCCTGATGGCAGAGGCCCAGGTGAGCCAGGCCTGAGGCCGTGAGCATAGGAGAGCTGAGCCTGCCACTTGTCTGCTGGGCAGAGGTTCAGGCAAGGAAAATGCGCCCTCCTCCCCTCCCTCATCCCTTGCCATATATGGCAGGCAAGAGAGCTGGTCCCAGGGTCATGAGAATGGAGAACTGGCCATGTCCCTCACCAGCTGTCACATTCGGGAGAGTGGGCCCCGGACCTCACCGGGGCAGCAGGGTAGTGCTGGCCCTGGCTGTGAGGCTGCTGGTGAGCCGGTCCTGAAGGCATGGGAACAGGAAAGCTGGGGGGCTGACCAGCTCAAATAGCTCTCAGGCCCAGATTCAGAGCTTTGAGTTGGCCCGCCCCAACATCTATACAATTGATGTACTGCTGGAGTCCATGAAGGGGCCAATTCTACAGATCCAAAACTGCAGGGTCTCCATGATACAGGGCAACACCCAGATACCCAAGAGGAGTCCCAGTGAGGTTCCAGTTTTGATAGAATAGCAGAAGCCAAAGGCCTCATGTCAGACCAACGACTCATTGCGATGAACATTTGCAAGCAAAGAAGAGTAGACTGTGGGACGCACTGTGACACACGACAGCGTCCGCATGAGATTTTTCATTTTTTTTCTCTGTTGAGGGGGAGGTTGCAGAGGATGGGTATGAGGGGAGGAAGAGATGAGTAGAATTGGGGTGCATGATGTGAAATTCACAAAGAACCAATAAAAAGTTTAAAAAAAAAAAAAAAGAGAGCTGTAATGGCCACGGTGTCTCTTTACAGCAATAGAAACCCTAACCAGCATCTAATGTTCTATGTGCCCCCTGCGTATGGACCGGATGATCTGGCACCTGCAGGCGTCTAACCAGTCCAGGATCCACTAGCACATAGCATCTTATCTCAGGGGTGCTACTCAAGCGGCAGGAGGCCTGCCAGGAGCCGCAAAGCTGATTCACATTCACATGGCAAGCTTCCACACCCTTCTTCAAAAACAGGGAACGGTGCTAGATCTTGTCCCTTGCTGCCCTCGTGGCATAGGCTCAGCCCGACCGACCGACAGACCCGCAATCCCATGATATCCACAGGAGGTCTTTAGGGCCAGGACCCGGGTATGATAGGGAAACAGAGCCTCCAAGGCATAGGAACTTTAGGGTTTTCCCAGCCCCCACTCTAGCCTGAGGACAAAGAGGTCAGCAGCCTTTACCCAATGATGCAGGTCCTCCAGCTGGGACACAGATGCAGTCTGAAATGGCATAGCACCACCTACTGACCAGCATCTGGCTGGCTATATCTGGCCAGGGCTTCTCCACCCCCCCACACACACAGCCCCTTCCCCCGCAAACCCACAGGCAAGACCTCTGGCAAAACCAGAAAAGGGAAGAGGAGAGGTGTTCACGCAGAGCATGAGGACCCTCTCCTGTTAGGCTAAGTCCCCTGTGACATTACTCTGAGCACTTGAGAGACCACCCCCAGCTAACCCTGAGCACCCTGAAATAAAACAAGAAATACCAGATGTAAGGAGATTCTTTAATCAAAAGGAACAGACATCAACAGACAGAACCCTTGAGCACACGCTACTCAGAGCATATCTTACTCCTGGGAACCCCCCTCAAAAAGGAGGCTCACACCACACCAGCAGGGTAGGTGTCTCTGAAGGGTTGACCAAGCCCCAGCTCCAGCCCACATTGGAGACAAAATCATGATGGATCAGAGCGAAGGCAGGCAGAACTGCAGGTCAGGTGGCTCTTAATGACTCCATCCCTCACTCTCCAGGCTAGCCTTCATGTCCAACAGAGGATGTACTCAGTCTCCTGAACTGAAGGGCTCAGGATTCCATCTTCCAGATGGCCTTGCCTGCCCTCTCTGCCCAAGTGTATCAGGGGTCAGGGTCAGGGCTAGAAACAGGTCAGGACCTGGGCTGGGGTTGGCTTGAGAGTGGGGAGCCCAGCCTGGGGAGTGCGGAGCTCAACAGCAGATGATTTCGACACCTGGTACACAAACTTGAGCTTTGTCACTTTCTTCCCAGAAAGAGTGCTTCACTCTTTCTGGGAGGCAGCAGGCTGGACAGCAATGGCCACATCAGCCTGGGCAGGAGGACTCTGCCGTGACCAGGCAAGATGTGGCCAAAGCAGACCAGACAGAGGCAGTGTCCACCAGCTTTCACAAGCCCTGGGCAACATTCTTCCAGCTTGCCAGGCCTGGCCTTCCATCCGTCAGACGCTCAGAGCAGCCGGTCGGTGCGCTTGCTGCGCCACACCACCAGGCCAGCCATTGCCACCGTCAGCAGGACTGGCACGGCGATCAGTGGGATGAGCACCTCGTCTGGGGGATCCTCCCAGTGGGTCCTGTCCACGGTGCAGTTGGAAAAGAACTGCCTGTGGATGCCGGTAATGAAGCTCTGGGCCAGCGGGTTGGGCCAGTAGCAGCCCACGATGCGGGTCTCTAACTCCGTGCAATTAGTGAAGCTTTCGTAGTACCTGCAGAGGTAGAAGGTGAGACCCCTCATACCGGCCCCACCCCGGGACCCAACAGACAGGCAGGGAATGGCCAGGGCTCAGTCCCACTTGGCCACCTACTGAAACAGTGGCCTCAGTAGTCACTTCCAACTGGATCATCTGTACCTGTGGCTTTTTCCTACATGTGACCATCACCTCCTCCCTTGAAGCTATAAGCTCCCAGGCCCATGATGTCTGCTGAGCTACAAACCTCCCCAACACCATACAGGTCTCCCTGAAAGACATGGAGTCTGGGGCCCATGCCACATGAACCTGTAAGGCCCTCATCATCAGGGCATCCTGAGAAAAGAGCCTGCCTGAGGCCAGGGCCAGCTTCCTCCCAACCAAACCAATCTGCTCTCCATGCCAGGTAACCCTACGAGCTCTGGCCTCTGCCTATCTGCTCCTGCAGAGATGCCCCTCTGCCCCCTCTAACGGGATGTAAGGGGAACTGCTCATATGAGCACATGTGGGACAGGCTCCGACTCCCAGAAGGCCTCTTGTGATGGGCCTCATCTACCCTACCAGACTGTCATTGGTTCTGTAGGCTGGCCAAGGGCTACAGCTCCCAGAATCCAGAGTTCAACCTGGTGTGTATAAGGATTTCCAAGTATCCCCCTAGTCCTGGATGCAGTGAGCAGCCTCTGGAGGTGCCAACCTTCCTGCCACTGGGGTCTTTCAGGCTGAGTTCACCCAAGAGGTTCTGGAGGAAGCTGAGAGGATGGATGTCTGCCCAAGGCTAGCAGCTCTGCCCAGGATGGCACTTTCCCAGGCCTGTTCAGATGAAGGACAAACACAGGAGAAAGAGGATCCTGACCCAGTGTCCCATGGGGTCAGGACAGGGGCCCACCTCCTCCTTCCTGTGCTATTCCAGGAAGGAGTGGGGGCCTGCCCATTAACAGGAAGGAGCTACTTCCAACAAGCAACTTCAAAAACATCATTGCAACTTGAATTGCCAGAATCATCAGAATAAGGATGAAAAGCAGGAGGGACAGACTGCCAGGGTCCCAAGTGCTCTGTGTCCACTCCTCCTCCTGGGCAGGGCCCTGGAGCCTTGAGCATTATTCATCCAGATTCCTGACTGAACCATAGATTCCTACTGTAGGCTGGTTCTCAAAGCTTAAACCACATACCTGTGGCCCCCCAGGTAAACTTTACAAGAAAGAGCCACAGATTCGGAGGCCCAGAATCCTTGTCCAGATACAGAGGCCCCCTGGGCTTCAGTCTCGACACAGCCCTGGAGATACCCTGGTTCTCACGGCATCTGGGACAGGGAGTCATAAAGACCCAAAAGAATCCTTTTGTCCCCAAAAGGCCCCCTCCTCTGTATGTGTTGAGAACCACATGTTGTGACTCCCATGTTCCCAAAGCCTTTCCACGGAGCTGCCGGAAGTACCACCCACCACAGACGTCCTCACAGCTCCGCCTGGCTAAGCCAGGCAGCCCGGAGCCCAGGGCAGTTGACAGACAGAGCGAGGAGGGGACCGTGGGAGGTCTGCGGGTAAGTGTACCCAGGACCATGCATGGGAGGGGCCAAGGGACGAGGCTAGGCCAGAAGCCCAGGGTCCGGGTCCCGCGGTCAGCGGGGCACTCACACGATGAACTCGGACAGGTTGCACCACTTCCAGACGTCCACCCTGTTCATCATGTCAGCGAAGGCCTTCCCACAGCGGGGCAGCCTCTCCAGCATCCCAGTCTCATTGCAGCCGCACACCTGGGGACACTCACCTAGAAGGGACAACGGTGAGAAGGGGGATGTCCAGGCAACTCCGGCAAACACAGCCCCCCAGCGGAGGTAAGCACAGCCCCGCCCTACACCACTGATGTAAACACACACACACACACACACACACACACACACACACACGCTGATGTAAGCACAGCCCCCCATCCCACACCCCGCTGATGTGCCATCACAGGCCACAGCCCTCCCCCCCCAAACCCTGTCCCTGGGGTGAAACAAGTATGCCTCCATTTGACCACAGCAGTAACACAAGGAAAAAGCCATGGGGAAGCCCTGGGCCAGAGTCCTCAGGAGTGGGCAGAGGTCCTGGGCATATCCAGGAGACCGAAACTCAACTCAGTGGCTCGGGATGCCTGAGGCAGGCCTAAGGAAGGTCTCAGTTGGCACAGACCTCCCGCCCTGTCGTAACCCGCTTTGATCCCGGGAGCCTGAGGCTCCAACCTGCCGGTCACGGGACTCACATTCCCAGCAAAAAAGCCCATGGACTCTCAGGCCTGACACTGCTTATCACCCAGGATTTCACCGTGCCATCTCCTCCAGCTCACACCTCCATCTGTATGCCTGCTCCCAGGCAGACCAGAAGTGTCTCACTTCCCGCCGTCCCGTTCTCCAGATCTCACTCCATATCATTTCCAGGTGGCATAACCACTGCCTCTGAACCTCCTTCACCTCTGGGAGCCCTCATTCTGTTTCCATCACATAACCAACGGGAAAACAGCTCTGTGGGGCTCGGTGAGTGTGCATATCCCTGCCAACTGTATACTGTATACCGCGTACAACCCTGCTGTGTCTCCAAGAGCCTTACAGCCTTACTGTCTATGTCTGGATGCATGTGTGCATGTGTCCGTGTGTGTGTGTGTGTGTGTATCCATGCATGTCTATATATGTTCATGTGTATGTGTGCAGCCATGTGTGTATATATGTCCATGTGTGTGGGTGTATGTGTGTGTCCATGCATCTCTATATGTGTCTGTGTGTCTATGTGTGTGTCCATTTGTGTCTGTGCGTATGTATGTGTCCATGTGTGTCTGTGTCTGTATGTGTATATGTGTATGTCCATGTGTGTCTATATGAGAGTGTATGTGTTTGTGTATGTGTGTGTGTCCATTCGTGTTTATATGTCTGTAGGTGGATTGTGTATGTGTGTGTGCATCCATGCATGTCTCTCTTTGTTCATGTGTGTGTATGCGCGAGTGTGTGTAGATGTTCTGGGAAGGTGTATTGTCCACATCCTGGGGTGTGGTATATGGCGCAGTTCTCTGTATCCTAGAAGCCCAGTGAAGGGCTTGAGGAGACAGGAGAGAAGCTGCTGTTTAGACTGGGCTAGACTTGGCTACACCAATTATCAGCTCAGCCTCGGTTTCCCCATCTCTCAACAAGGGAAGTGTCCACAAGGCTCTCAAGCCGGCCCACTCCAGCCATGTTTACATTTTATTGCAGGGGTGGCAAATGCTTGCTCATTTCCTCCTTTAGTGAAAACCTGTGGGATCAGTGGGTGTGTGGAACATTCTCAGAGGGCAGCCACGCCTATCAGGCGATCCACATGTAGTCCACACTGCTCACTGAGAGGTGGGCTAGTCAAAGCACCTAGGGAAACAGTGGTCCAGACCTAAGCACTTTCAGATTTCAGAAGGGAAGCCACAGCCCTCTGAATCCTCAGAGAGAAGCCCCAAGAGGCCCAAGGTTCAGCCCACCCCAACTATGGCAGGAAGCCTGGGGATCTGGCTCAGGGCAGGCTCCGAGGCCCACCCTGTGGCTGGCCCTGAGACCACACACTATGCTTCTAGGAGCAGACGAATGACAAGAGAAAAGGATGCGGAAGGTCCTCCCAGCTGCCTGCGACCTGGGTGCCCACGCTCGGGATGCCTTTTCCCTTCTGAGCCTGCCCAAACCTAGGCCTCAGGGCCCAGGCTGACCACACTGGGTGTCACCAGGGCTTCTCACCAGTGGGGCAGGACGAGGACCCAATGTGTGCATGCTCATCTCTGACTCTGACACCCAGGAGCCCCTGGGGACCTGTGATAACAGGAGGAGAGGGCTCAAAAGCCCAGCTCTGCATTGGAACCCCACTAAGGGGGTCAGAGGGTGACCACATTTCCCCAGGACAGCCCCCAACACACATAGGCTTCAGCGCCCCACCCCTCCCATCACTCCACGGTCTCCTGAGCCTTCAGCCTGGTTTCTTGTACTTTCCCACTCACCTGTCCACTGTGGAGCTGGCTCATCTGAGAACCCGAAACATCGCACCCAGGGCCTAGCCTCCGGCTGAGTCCCACATACTTAGTGTCCTGCTGTCAGTTAGCCACCTGTACCACAGGACCCTGTCCAGCCCCACTAAGTCTGCCTATAAAGATGAGGGCCCCCTTTCCCTGCAACGCATTTCACTTTTTAGTGTGTGTATGTGTGTGTGTGTGTGTGTGTGTGTATGTGTGTGTGTGTGTGTGTTTTGCCTGCATGTCCTGTTTCTGTACCATGTGCGTGCTGTGCCCACAGAGACAAGAAAAGACTTATCAGAACTTCTGGAACTAGACATACAGATTGTGAAGCACCATGTGGGTGCTGGCAACTGGGCACAGAACCTCTGCAAGAGCAGCCAGTGAGTTTTGTTTTGTTTTGTTTTGTTTTGTTTTGTTTTGTTTTGTTTGAGACAGGGTTTCTCTATAGAACCTTGGCTGTTCTGGACTTGCTTTGTAGACCAGGCTGGCCTCGAACTCACAGAGATCCGCCTGCCTCTGCCTCTCAAGCGCCGGGATTAAGGGCATGCGCCACCACACCCAGTACAGCCAATGCTCTTAACTGCTGAGCCAACTCTCCAGCTCCCCCACACACATACACACAGGCTTAGCAAAAGACTGAGCACTCGTGTGGAGAGCTGAGCTAGGCACTTAGAAAGGAAGCAGAAAAGGAATCTGCTCCTATCTGCGGTGGTCTGGTCTTGCCATCCAGGGTGCACGAAAGAAACACAGATCTGAAAGGGAAGAAACTGAGGCCAGGTGTGACAGGTAGGGCAAGCCTGACCTGCAGGGTGTGTGAGAGCTCTGCAGGCAAGCAACCATGGTCCACAAGTCCCATGCTTTGGTGGCAGGAGACGGGACAGCCAGAGCTACTTCCAGGCCACAGCAGGGCCTGATGCAAACGCTGAGGGCTTTGGGAGCAGGCGGGCCCTGACAGGGTGATCCAGGTTGGTATGAGTTGTCCAGGCGGCAGGCAGGGCTTTGAGCAAGAAGAAGATGAGGCCAGGCATCCAAAGATCTCCGGCATGGGAGAATGCCAGTGAAGGAAATGGTTGTCTCTGGCCTCACAGAAGCTCAAGAGGACCCTGACATCCTGCCCCTGACAGATCCTACCCAAAGTCACACAGCTTGGAACGAGGAATTATAAAGCCAAAGGCTGGACATTGGGCAACACTGAGCCATGGGCTGATTTTGCCCTCAAAGTATCTGCGCAGCCTAGAAACACCACGGGCGGATAAAGGCCAGACTGAGGTGCAGAGGAAGGTTGTCAGGAGATAGATACTCTGTAGGAAATTAACCAGAAAGAGCTGCGCCCTCAGCATGCTGACAGTGAGTCCATCTAGGCCTGGGCAGAGCAGGGGAAGCTAGCCTAAACTCACATAAACCCAGTCAATCCAGAAAAACCCCAAGTTAGGTCCCTGCAGAAGGTGACCTCAAACAGGCATGCCAGAGCAGAGGCAAAGCCAGGCCCTCTGGGAAGATACGCCATAATGGCAGCCCTCATAAGACCTTCCATCAAGGATCATCCTGAGTGAGCTGTCCTAGAAGCAGAAAGACACACACGGTATATACTCACTCATATAGACAAGTAATATAGGATGAACCTACTAAAATCTGTACATCTGAAGAAACTAATCAAGAGAGAGGACCCTCACTAAAATGCTCAATCCCCATCCTGAAAGGCAAAGAGGATGGACATCAGAAGAAGAAAACAGGAAACAAGCTAGAAACCCGCCACGGAGGGCCTCTGAAAGGCTCTGCCCTGCAGACTATCAAAGCAGATGCTGAGACTTATGGCCAACTGTTGGGCAGTGTGCATGGAATCTTATGTAATAAGTGAGAAATAGTAAGATCTGGAGAGGACAGGAACTCCACAAGGAGAGCAACAGAACCAGAAAATTTGAACACAGGGGTCTTCCCAGTGACTCATACTCCAACCAAGTACCAGGCATGGAGATAACCTAGAACCCCTGCACAGATGTAGCCCATGGCAGTTTAGTGTCCAAGTGGGTTCCATAGTAATGGGAAGAGGGACTGCCTCTGACATAATCTGATTGGCCTGCTTGTTGATCACCTCCCCCTGAGGGGGGAGCAGCCTTACCAGGCCACAGAAGATGACAATGCAGCCACTCCTGATGAGATCTGATAGACTAAGATCAGAAGGAAGGAGAGGAGGACCTCCCCTATCAGTGGACTTGGGGAGGGGCATGCGTGAAGAAAGGGGAGGGAGGGTGGGATCGGGAGGGGAGGAGGGAGGTACTTATGGGGGATACAAAGTGAATAAAGTGTAATTAATAAAAATTTAAAAATAAAAAAAAAAATAAGACCTTCCATCATCCATCATCCAAGGAAGTTGGGTGGCTCACAGTCAGCCTCAGTACAAAGGGCCACCAAGGGGAACGGCACACACCAAAAAGAGGAGACGGACTGGGAAGACAGCTCAGTAGCAAAGCACTTGCATGACGAGCTGAGTTGGAAAGCCCAGAACATGCAAAAAGCCAAGCGGTCGTGGCAGCTGCCTGTAATCCCAGAACTCAAGAATCAAGGACAGCAGAGTCGCAGCTACACTAGCTGGGACTGAAGAGTGCTGGCTTCAATGACAGTCACAGTTCACCTAAAGAAAGCGGAGAGTAATCAAGGAGGACATGTGTGCGTGCTCACATGTGCACACACAAGGAGAACACTGTTCAGGAAAACCTTACATCTTGGAACAGTGAGTCTGTGACACTGAAGTTACAAACTGTTCCCTC